ATCTTTGATAATATACTCTCCCAAACAAGATCCCAAACGCATCATGAAAATAGCAATTTCATGTAGCAATGATTTAAAACGTGATTCATTTTACAAAAGGTTTTGCTCTGTTTATGAGTCCTATGGTGTTTATGTTTGAAACATCACAACAAAACGCACCATCCGTAAAATACCCGTATTTAACAGCATGATTTTCAATTTCGGCGTGTAGTGTCACAGAATACACAATTCACATGCAATGCACGTGAAAGTTGGGGATCAGATAGTCTCAATGATGGGTATAAAATGTTGATCGCTGTCGGTCGATTATTCACTGTATTTGGAATATTGTTGAAGAACGCAAAATGCAACATCTAAGTGAAGCCAACCGTCATATCGCCATTGGTTTGCTTGAAGCTGGCCAGTTTCAACGTGCAGTTGCCCGACGCATGAATGTTCACCAAAGCACCATTTCACGGCTCTGGGAGAGATATCGCCGGCAGAATGCGGTAACAGATGCCCCTCATAGTGGGCGACCTCGAGCGACCACTGCGGCGCAGGATCGCTACATCCGGGTACATCACCTGTGTCATCGAACAGCTACGGCGACCAGTACCGCTCGACAAATACCCGGATTGAGGAGGCTTTCTGCACAGACCGTCAGGAACAGGTTGAGAGAGGCTGGTTTACGTGCCAGAAGACCTTATATTGGCCCTGTGCTTCGACAACAACATCGTCGACATCGAGTTCAATGGTGCACAAACGTTCAGGCCTGGAACCTACCGAATTGGTGTAGAATCTGGTTCAGTGATGAATCACACTTTCTATTGTAACGACGGGATGGAATAATGCGGGTGTACAGACGTCGACGTGAACGTTTCGCCGATGCTTGCGTTCCCCAGGTGGACAGATTCGGCCGGGACAGTGTTATGATGTGAGGAGCGATCACCTGCCGTAGGAGAAGTGATTTGGTGATGATCCAGGGCAACCTGACAGCTCAACGGTACAGTGACGAAATCCTACGCCCACATCCTTCCGATCATTGATCGCCAGAGGGAGTTGTTTCAACAGGACAGGCCCCATACAGCACGTCACACTAGAGACTTCCTCCAGAACCACAACATCAATGTGCTCCCCTGGCCCTCAAGATCACCGGACTTAAGGTGACACATAAGGACCCAGATTTAGTACTGGATGGAGCTCCTATCAAAGTTGCAAAAGAGGCCAAGTTTCTTGGTATTGTGTTTGATCAACACTTGACCATTGTCTACCGCTTATAAAAAAGAAAAAGACTAAATGCCTGAAAGTATATGGTGGAGCCTGCAAAAGCAACCTAAAACTATTATATTCAGTCCATCACCAAGGTCTAAGACTTTTAGAACTTCTCCTGATGGCAGTCTCTACGTCGTCGAGGCAGATGAGCCATCTCTTACACAACGTCATATTTAATTATCCTTACAATATATTACAAAGCTATACTCTAACGAATCAAACACTGCATATAACTGTGTCTTCAGTCCCAGCTGTGAGGATTTATACAACAAGAAATCTTGTATTGTTCCGCCTCTTGGGCTAAGAATTAAACCATTCATTTCTGCTGCCGGCATTGAGCTGGAAAATATAGCTCCTTCCCGTCTTCTTTCTTCTTCTCCTTGGCAGTTGGTTAGGCCACAAGTCGACCTAACACTGACAACATTTAAAAATCAGAAACTCATGAATTACAATATAGACAGAATATAATCAATTATAATACATACACATCCTTATTTACAGATGGGTCCAAGGATGGTGGCGCGGTGGCATGAGCCACTGTTATTGGGATCCAGAACAATATCCTCTAGAATACCAGATAACAGCTCTATCTTTACAGCAGAATCCAACGCCATATGAACGGCTCTTAAATATATTCAAAGACGCACTAAATATAAGCAATACATAATCTTTTCCGATTCTTTTCTTGCCTTCAGGCTATTAAAAATATTTCTTGTAAACATCCACTTTTAATAGAAATAATTGAATGGTATAATGAACTTGCTACTGGCTAATGCGACATCATCTTTTGTTGGTTACCCAGCCATGTTGGCATTTCTGGGAACACAATGGATGATCTTGCTGCTAAGGCAGCACTCATCAACAAATCTGTGACACCACTTCTTATCCCATACACTGATTACAATGCTAGCATTAGAACCTACATCCGTGATCTGATGCAGAAGAAGTGGGACACCCAGGTAGGTATCAATAAATTGCATGAAATAAAACCCTATATTGGTTACACCTTCTTGGGTTGTCAGTCCAGATTTGAAGATGTCATCATACGACGATGTCGTGTTGGCCACACAAGATATACTCATGAGTACCTATTGAAAGGTGAGGATCCTCCGTTTTGTATCCCTCGTGGTGAAAGAATCATGGTCAAGCATGTCCTGCTTGACTGTGTTGAATATTCCATCACAAGGGATATCTATTTCAAATCACGAACTATGGAGGATCTTTTTAATAATATAAGTTCTCATTTGATTATTGCATTTTTAAAAGAATTAGATTTGTTAAGTGATTTGAAAATGGATAAATATTTTATGATTGGAAGTTTAAATTAATAACTCAGATTGTTAGAGGCTGTACCCTCAAGGGGGGGAGTGAAGTATTGTAAATTTATTGTCCTCCTGAGAGGGTACGTAAGTCCCCAAATTTTCAAAGTCACTTTAAACTTACCAGGATTTTTAAACGTAGTATTCTTGTTATTTTAATTGTGGCTAACATTTCTTACAATCGCCAGCAGCTGAAGGGATGGTGTAAATCCAACTAGGATCCATGCAAGTAGCAAAGGTACTGTGAGTCCCAATGGTCCCTAGTAAGGTGATCTACCTTCAGTTGTTGGCGATCTATAGCCTGTTTTTATATTGTATTGTCCAAATAGTGCTATTAATTTTAACTTTCCACGCTAGTTTTAATTTTAATTGTGATATTCTACTGTCCTTCGTTGACAGGTTTTTATAATTTACATATATTCCATTTCAATGTCAAATATGTTCTCGTCACGATATGGCTGCAATATTGCCGATGTGACGTTAAATATTTACTCACTCATTCAATTGCACACATGTATGTATCGCTAAAGTGAACGTTTTGTCAATGATATCATCAAAAAGGCAGCTGATAAGCATATTAACCGACTTCTCAGCTCGGAACTACAACACAACGCAACAACTAATCGCCTCTTACGACAAGTATTGGTTGCTGAAGACGAATTCTAACCCGGGTCACAAGCAATATGAACTTACTAGAGCTACTGACGTTTTCTCCTTGTCCAACACTTCTCTCTGAAAGCTAGTATGGTCGACGTGAAGCAATCTGGTATTCTCTATAGTCCAAAACGTCCCTCCTTCGTCATTTTCCAGCTCTCTGATGTCAACAAGCTGGACTAAAGTCTTTAGAGTGGTGAGTTTAGTTTCACGACACTTTTCGCAATATTCCAGCAATCTGACAGTGGGGGAAACTAGAAATGGGATTCACACACTATATCTATGTAGGGGGCTTCGGCGTGACGGGCGAACGCTTTAATCACTGGACTACCCCCGAAGATCTGAGTGAGTGAGTTTAGCATTACGCCGCACTCAGCAATATTCCAGCTATATGGCAGCGGTCTGTAAATAATCGAGTGATCAACAGCATGAACATCGATCTACGCAATTGGGATACGATGACAAGAGTCAACCCAATCAGCGAGCCTGACCACCCGATCCCGTTTGTCGCCTCTTACGACAAACATAGGTTACTGAAAATCATTTCTAACCCGTACCTTCACAGGTCCTGGTGATCAGAGAATCATTAAATATGAACAAAAATCATGCAAGACAACAAGGCTTTTTCCTTTTATTATTAGCAGCTAAATGTAACTAAAGACAGGCGACAAGACAATAGATCAGGGTCACGATCCACAAAACCTTGGTAGCGCTACGACATTCGTAAGAATATGATAAACTTTAGAGTTATGACAGGTCGTAATGTTACGAAAATCAATCGGGACCCAGATGCATGGGCAAACAGTTAAGTCGGTTGTGGCCACTGATCACCTTGGAGTTAACTAGTTCTGTGGAAGGGGTTACCTCGGCTTGGTTAGGCTGGGACAAGTGGGCACTAAATATGTCTTTAATTAAGTAAACACGCCTAAACACGCCAAAAGCAGAAACTCCAAGAAGTTAACATAAACATACCCTTATCTCAAAACGAAATCAAAAGCCTATCAAAACAAAAACACCTCCCAAAAGTGGCAAAGTAACCAACAAAATCAATTTCTACATTGAAAAGTCTTCTGGAAAAAACACTCAAAACCTAATAACGTACCATACATCTTAAAATATAGACAGGGCAATAACGGAACTACAAACAAGTTATAGAACATTAGTGAGTGAGCGAGTTAAAATTTAAAGTCACATCGGCAATATTTCAGCCATATCGTGACTAAAACTAGTTCTAACTTTCTAATACATACAGATTATATATAAAACCCTGTCAACGAAGGACAGTAAAACCACGAGATTATCACAAAATGAGTTAAAACTAGCTAGCATATAACTTTAAAAGTAGAAAACTATTTTTTGACAATACAATGTAAAAATGGGCTAGACATCGCCAACAACTGAAGGTAGATCACCATACTAGGGATTATAGAACATTAAAGTATCACTTTTATAACAAAGAAACAAAACGACCCAACAAAACAGACACTACAGAGTCGACTGGACACGAACACAATCCTATTATATTCAACACCCCAATCATCTCACATTTACATTTGAAACCGGCATGATATCATCGTCACCATCATCCATCATCTCACATTTAAATGTAAAGCGGAACATCATCATCATCATCATCGTCATCATCATCATCATCATCATCAATCATCTCACATTTACATTTAAAGCGGAATGCTACCAGAGTAGTGTTATACAGCTTGCGTAAATGAATAAACTCTACAGCAGCAGAGCGATAATGTGGGGGATGTAGTTTTACCAACAATATCACGGCGGAGGATATGAGAAATGGGCCTCACACATCATCCTATGCTGGGAATCGAACCAAGTACTCTGGCATGCCGAGCGAATGCGTTAACAACAAAGCTACCCCACCGCCCATATTCAAACAGCCAGCCAGCGAGTTAACTACTGGTATACAGTTCTGAGTAATAATTTCTGACAAAATACTTTAGTGATCGTGAAGCTCATTTGAGCCAACAAGTAAGGATACACAAATCAATATAAATGATATGTCCCTATATAGTTCAAACCACATTTATACAGACAGACAGCTGTGTATTCAGGGAAAAGGCCATAGGCCCTTGCAACGTTTGGTTGCATGAAACCACAATTGTACTGATCTGTATCGCGATTATAAAAATATACAATACAGTGTACAAATATACAAAATGCAACTTATCACTAAATGTTCACAGGTGCCATGACCTTTCCATGAAGTTCTTACACTTGCATTTAAGATGAACTCTTTAGTCTCAAGGTGCTCTCTGTGTAAATGTTCCCCATTAAAATGTTTCAGAACACATATTTTCTTGCTTATGAGCTAATAGAAAAATACTTAATTAAAAATGATATAATCAGCGAGGCTAAAGATGATGGTTTTGAGCTGTTTGTAAATAATCATTTACTGAAAATGATTTTGTTCCAAATGACACACAAATTTTGTAACGGTACGTTCAAACCACAGTGAATGGACTTTGAACGTTGGTAGGACCATGCGTTGTTGGCATCCAGAGTTTAAACAAGAATGTTTATGGACGACAAAGTCAGTATAGAAACTCACTAGGGTGTTTCCTGTCTTCACAAGACCCCAAGTCCCGTTAACAGTTCAGATTCGTCCACACAAAAGTTTCTCAAACACTTCTCCATGAACATTATACTATAGACCATGCTGTTTTCATTTATGACATTCCCCATCATGCATCTTCATCATTTGGTCTCTACTCTGCAGGCTGAATCTTCTGCATCCATTCCTGACATGTCATCCTACGCAGACCACCCTTTTCATCTAGTTTGTAGGCAGAGGGTCCACCTCTATCTCTGAACACACTTCCATTTACTGGCCTGACTGAGAATTCAATCACGCTTTTGTCTTCTTTGACTGGATGAAAAGTAACTTCCACAAGGTCTGTCAGGTCATATGATTTGTGAGTGTGAATGTTTGGTATGATCATCAGATTTTGTCGAACAAAGTGTCTCAGCGCTTCTGTAAAGGCTGTGTGATCCTTAGACGTAATGTCAACACCCTCCATGATTGGACCGATTTCATCGTCACGAACTCCAATGTAAAAAGACCCACCAAATCGGTTTTTGGAAAATGCCGAAATAAACATATGTAAGCCATAACTGTACAAAGATTCAGAAATATTGGCATTGATCGTGAGGTGTTCTTGGGGTATTAAATGTGTCAGCCTAATATCTACTCCTTTCTGAAGATTCTCCAATCCTCTGACAACTGGACGTCTGTGACCTACATATTGGCATTGATCGTGAGGTGTTCTTGGGGTATTAAATGTGTCAGCCTAATATCTACTCCTTTCTGAAGATTCTCCAATCCTCTGACAACTGGACGTCTGTGACCTACATCGCGTTTACCGAACAGTAATGTTTTTATCTCGGCAAGAGAAGCAACAACGAGAGATCCGTGGTTGGAAGTGTAACTGTTTACATTTGCTGTAGATACCCTCGTTGAGATACACTGAGATACTGTAATGACAAGAAAGTCAGTATTCTCAAACCACTCTCGTTGTATTTCATGAGAATAGATTTCCCCTTCACCAAGGCAAAAGATTTGAGAATTTGAGAACATGTCATCGAATTGTCCGAGGCATTTGTTGATTTTGTTTTTCCCACTGAGGTGGCAGAATATAACTCCTCCTCCAGAGTTTCGCAAAGCAGAGGCCTTCATTGACATTTCAATTCGTTTTTCTCGTCCGTACTCTCTTTGAACTTTTGGATGACGAGGCATCGTTTTCCTTTCAAACATCCTTACCACATCCATGTGGATTACAACATGCTTTTGAAATGAATACTTGTGTTCATTCATGTCCCGGCAAGCATCGCACCCTGTGGAGTAAAACAGGGCATGTTTTCCTGTAACTTGACCATGTTAACAAAATAACGAAGCAGTAAAGTCTCAACTTTATCATGGTTTACGAAGAACTTACAGGTTATTTAAATATGCTACACGACAACCCAAAACTTTGATGGGTCATTTTTCGATTCTTTGAAGATATGGCTGAAATATTGCGGATTTGACGCTAGATATTAACTCACTCATTCTTTGAGGATCTCCCATTTTGTTTGGTAATAGGTGTTCTATGATGATGTACTAACACAATATGGATTGTAAATTCATGATGACAGTCATTCCTCCCTGACATCTTATCAAAATTATTTCATAATTTGGTAAGATGGTTAAAAAAAAAGTCAAACAATCACGTCGCATTGTTTGAATACATATGTGTATGTTGAATGCCACTTCAATCAGCGATATTCCAAGGGATTTATATCGTAATAGAAATAATTTGGATCCGGGAATTAACGACTGCGTCCATCCCATCCCATTAACCGGGTCTTACGACAAACATAGCATCATTATCCTCGACTGGGTGCTTGTCTGCGATGATGTTTTCTCGTAAAGAATGTGTAATATCCTTCCCACACTCACCACGAACCTTTTCATCTGTTAACCTGAAATACACACACATCAGATCAGTTACAATTTTTGGGCTTACAATCATGAAACTGTTCAATCACACGTGCATGATATGTTTGTTGAGACTTTTAGTGTTAGCCTGTTAAACGCCAAATTGCTGTTACGAGGTAAAAGAGCATCCCCAAAACCTCAAAACCAACTTGACCTTTAAAATTAAAATGCCAAGATTATCGTTAACAGAGGGAATACGAGTCATCGGAATGTCTCAGAATGGGGCTTCAAATAGCCATAATGGTGGTACGTTCGGTTGTACCAGGCAGACCATCACCAGACTTATGAAACACGTCAGCCAAACTGTCCCAGAAATGGCGACCCCGCAAAGATGACTATCGCATTATCCATGTGCGCAACCTGGGCCCTTATTCTCGAAACGTTCGTAACCATAAGAATTCTTAATTTTGATCGAAGCCAATGTGTTAAGAATGGGCTTAAGAAGTTCGTAGGTCTGCGAACGTTTCAAGAATAGCTAGCCTGAAGCCCGCAGTGACGTCATCAGCACCAACAGTGTTGAGTCAGTGCATCAGCAGAAACACAGTGATGAGACGACTGAGTGCTGTTGGCATCTCGTTTACCCGGCAACGGAGATAGAATCGTCCTCGCTTGGCAACCGATTCAAGGCACTGGCAACGTTTCTTTTGGGTGCGATGTCAGTTTAGGTGAAAAACAAGGACACCAGAAACAGAACCAATAGAGAGATGACAAAGAAATCAATATAGAGATGTTGGCATGGTCACATGGATTGCCGTTTCCGATCATGACAAACATGTGATTTGAGTCTAATTGAACTGTGCAAGAATCAAATTGATACTAGTATATTAAGGCATGTGATAAAGAGCAATCAGGATCCGACAATTTAAACTGATGCTTTTAACACTAGCAGAGTGGTGAGGGCAAATCGTCCTCACACCGTTTTCCAACTCTGTGACATGCCTGTTCTGTCTTGTGTAGTAGACATCGAGTGATGTAAGTAAACGTATGTTAGTACAAAACCTGTTGTTGCGTTAAGTGTTGGAGGAATGGGCAGGGTCGTCCCACTCAACAGTCTTGGGGTTAACGGCCCTTAGGCGAATATTGTGTAATTGGATACATTGGCAATGACAACATGGAGCCGCAATACACATTAGTAACTGTTGTTGGGTCACCTTACAATCTTACGACAAGTTATGACTTTACTCAATATGTCTTGCCCTTTGTACTTCACTAGAAGCTTTTTAGCACAAAGATTTTCTGATAAAGTTGACGCTTCAAACCCTAATGCATAATTAATGATTATATACTTACGGTTTCCCAAACACTGAATCAGGATCCACTTGATGATCTGCTTGAGCATGTGCTCCTCCAGATGACGCTGAGTAAATTCCCGAGTCACTTTGTGAAGGGGCATAATGATATCCCGTGGGCCTGTAAGACAAAACCCTAAAACATCCAGACAACAAGGAAAAGCCGAAGGTTGCTATAAATCATATTCTTCTACATCACATAGTATTGCCTTTTATCATTATTACTCTAGAGACTGTGATCTGTATTAATATCAATGAACGGTGGAGATTCGCATTTGAATATGTCCACTGTACTTTATTGCTTTTGGTAAGAGGACGCAACATTGAATAGGGTTACTCAGTCTCACTGCCTAATGTGTGTCATCTTGTCATGAGGGCTTTGTACAATGTTCATGCTTTCAGTCATTGGTTTGCCACACTTCCTCAGTTCCAGACTGTTGCCTAATGCCCGAACAATGTGGAGGAAAACAGATAAACAAAGAGACAAAACTAAGATCTTGCCTTTTCCATCCTTTGCCTGTGGAAGTACTTGGCAATTCAGTGACATCATCACATTCGTCCATGACCTCAACATTATCCACCGTGGATGCATCATGGATATTGCATTTTCCCAGACACTGCGTAAGCAGATCGGTCACTGCATCCTTATTGGAGACCATTTCCTCAGCATCTTGTTTGGTACCATGTCCAAACTCTAAAACTAAGTTTCCTGATATGGCAAGCGTCCAAAGCACGCCAAATGTGTTTTTGAAGGCGCACGTTATGTCTCTCAGTCCTTTAAAATGACATTTCATCAACTTAGACAAAGCACTTTCCGCAATGTTAGAGAGCGTCCACTTTGTTCGACAGGCGGCATCTGTACTTTGCTGTCTCCCACAGCTCAATTTAAGATGCACGATCTTTCCTCCTTCACATGTAGCTTTTTATGAAAAACAAATATAGAAATATATTAATGACTTTGGCGAGAACTACACACAAAAAGAACGAAATTAACATGGAAAATAAACATCTTCACTTTCAATATTAAAATGTTGCATATGCTAGTTAAAATGAAATATTAATATATGTGAAAAAGTGATATTAAACAATTTACCTGTCGTCTCGACATCCTGGTCATCGTAGTTTCCAAGTATCCACACCTTGCCATTGTGTACTGATATATAAAGACATCGGTCATAGTTACTACACACATCAGTAACATTATAAGTCATTACCATATATCATAACCATTGTAACCATGATTTGATAAGACCATTGGGTTTACAGACATACAAGACCATTTATCTGTTCTGTCGACTATTGACAAACTACTGATTGGAATGTTTAAGACGAATATGATAATATAAATTACACAATACCTATGACCAATTCCAAAAGTGAAGAATCTCTGTTACCGTTATAGGTGGAAGTATGCTTATATAAATCAGTAAGTTCCTTCTACACAAACTGGAGTGTTGGAGAATTGTTGTTATTATTATGATATTGGCGAAAATTATTTGTTTTATGATAATGATACGGTTTAAGGGAGATTATGCAATGTCCAAGATTCCGTATGTTGCCAGATGTAGATGAGTTTGTTGCATTCCCTGATCAAATACACAACATGTTTTGTTTAATTAAATTTGAAGTGTCTACAACTCCCATTTATTGAGAAGTTTGCGGCCAACAACAGATGTAACATCTGGTACTTGAACCCGTACAGCTTCCCAGAGAGCGAATTGGACTTCTAGGAAGCGCTGCCTAGCCGAACCCATCAAGAACTTTCCGGAGAATATGTTGGCTCCCCATCACTGCAGCCTTCTGAATTACTCAGAGTGTCAGAAGGGCTGTGCTCCTGGTGAAGAACCCGGGCACTTTCCTAATGTGACCAAGAGATCAGGAGGTACCAAACGAAGGGCACCAAGAACAATGGGGAGTCTGACGACAGTGTACTTGGGATGCAAGCGAGATATTTCGTGCATGTTTAGCATGCTTTTCCTGAATCTTGTCAATCACGTTACTGTCTAAAGGGACGTAAAATTCAATGATATAAATAAATTCATTGGCTTTATCAAAAAGGACGAGATCAGGTTTATTGGCTGGATATTTTCTTTGTCTGTATATGGGCCTATACCAAAGAAGTTTGAAAGCATAATTTTCCATGACACCCTGGACATGTTCAGGGTCGTACCATGGATGGACCTCGGTGTCAAAGCCACAGACATGGCGAAGGCCGTTGTAGAAGCAGAACAATTTGGAGATTGCGAGTAGGAAGTGACTGGTCTTGAGCACCAAAAGGAAAGCCCTCAGATTCACGTTTAGACCACCCGACTTCTTCCAGATGAAGGAGTAGATTACTGTTCAATTCTTATAATTCAAGCCAATCATTTCTTCGAACTCAGCACTGAAATAACATTCTAGAAGATGGCACAGGTCTTTTAGTATATCATCGTGTGATTCACTTGTTCTGCCATCTACCTGTTCATGTGTTTACGGTTTATTGATTCCAGACTTTTGCGTTACCCTTTACACTATCCATTGTGATTTTCGTGTAAAATTTACGTTTGTATTTGAGATTTATCTCTTCTTCTATTTTTAAGTGACTATTTGTATCTCCGTTAAGATCCCTTAAGTCCTTGAATGCTCTGGAGATTAATCTTATTTCCCAAAACGTTGATTGTTATCTTCATTTTCATACTACTGTTTTGTTTCATCTATTTCCGTGTTCATAATAGTGGGTAACCTATTATCGGAAATTAAAAAGTAGTCCAGATGGGCATGTTTCCACGACCTGGGTTGTCGCCATGTATAGCTCTTGTTAATGGGTTATATTCACCCCTTACATACATGGGTTTCATTGAAGTAGGCACATGATAGTTTCGAAATTGAACAATGGAGATTTTAGAAAAGGATTTTGTCAGTTGTCTTTACCTGGGATCGTCTCTGGAATTGTGATTGCGCTCAGGGTGTCCCCTCTTAAAGTGACTTGGACTGCATTCCTGTATTCATCTGTATCAAGAAAGGTATCATAATTGTAATAAACCAGAGTTGCGTCCCTTAGTCTTGGTGTTTCTGCATCACGGCCGTGCCTGCTGGTTTCACCTCTCCGACACGACGTGATGTAACAGGAAAAATGAGGCAAAATCAGCTCATTCGTTTTTAACAGTCATAACTCAATTTTCAAGCAATGCTTATTAAATGATATCAGTATTCTTGCGGTATAAACGCATGACAAATAACAGATACATGTCAGAAGCCGTATATAAATACTTATGTCCTGTCCATATTTGTAAGACTCTGATCTGATCTAATAGAGAGCAGAGATGTGTGTTATCCATATTTGTAAGACTCTGATCTGATGTAATAGAGAGCAGTGATGTGTGTTATAAATTATATTTCAATATTTGATTTCTCCAAATGTGAAGTTTCTTATTTTGATCAGTAGATTAAGACTAACATGGCTTTCTTTAGACTTTTGACCAACCGAAATAACCCAGCGTAAACCAGCATGTTCTAGTATGTTCCATCAGAGATATATAAAGAGCCATGGTTTACAAATATGAGGCGATGTGTTGTGGTGATATATGTGTATGGTATGCTGAGGTGAGATGTGATGTGATGTGGTGTGGTGTGGTGTGGATGTGAGGTGAGGTGAGTTGTGGTGAGGTGAGGTGATGTGATGATATGTGAGGTGATGTGACATAATGCGAGGCGAGGCAAGGTGAGGTGAGGTGTTGCGGTGGTATATAGAGAATCTCACCCACGTGTCTACTGATATCAATTATATCAACACGAGTTGATAAAGTTACAAATATCCGACGTGATATACTATTTATCATAAAAAAATCACTGTTCATTGGTTTTCAATGAAAAATTTACATCTCTGAACACGGTACTACCATTAGACTTGCAGTGCAGCGATGTCATAGCATTATGACGTCATCAAGTTCATGACGTCATAGCATTGTCAGGGCATTGTACAAAATCTGTTGTCAAAACGATATCTCCTAGGAGATAAAACGATATCTCCTAGGAGATATCGTATGATCTCACACAAGCAATATCTCCTGTGGAACACAGTTTTGGATGATAAATGTGTATGGCATGCTGAGGTGAGATGTGGTGTGGAGGTTAGGTGAAGTAAGGTGACGTAAGGTACTGCATGTTGCGGTGATATAATTGTATGGTATGGTATGGTATGGTGTGGTGTGGTGTGGTGTGGTGTGGTGTGGTGTGGTGTGGTGTGGTGTGGTGTGGTGTGGTGTGGTGTGGTGTGGTGTGGTGTGGTGTGGTGTGGTGTGGTGTGGTGTGGTGTGGTGTGGTGTGGTGTGGTGTGGTGTGGTGTGGTGTGGTGTGGTGTGGTGTGGTGTGGTGTGGTGTGGTATGATGAGATGAGATGCGTGTTGCGGTGAGGTGAGGTGTGATTTAATGTGTTGTGGGGGTGAGATGATGTGATGAGATGTGAAGTGTTGAGAGAGGTGATGTGTGGTGTGGAGAGAGATGTGGCAAGATGTGGTGTTGTGTGGAGAGAGGTGTGGTGAGGGGCGCTGTGCTGTGGTGTGGAGAGAGATGTGGCAAGATGTGGTGTGGTGTGGAGAGAGGTGTGGTGAGGGGTGCTGTGCTGTGGTGTGGAGAGAGATGTGGCAATATGTGGTGTGGTGTTGAGAGAGATGTGGTGAGTTGTGATATGGCGTAGATAGTGATGATGCGGTATAGGATTTACCTCTTTCTGGATTCTCTGGCACTTGTCTGGAGTGTCCAGATCCCACTGATCCTTGTAGAGCAGCGTTAACTAAAAACACAATGCAACTATTTTAATTTGCATTCCACGTTAATATTGATATAACATATGAAGTCTTCACTTCTATTATTGGTTCCAATATGATTTGGGGGCGGTGGGGTAGCCTAGTGATTAAAGAGTTCGCTCGTTACGCCGAAGGCACGGGTTCGATTCCCCACATGAGCACAATGTGTGAAGCCCATTTCTGGTGTTCCCCACCGTGATATTGCTGGAATATTGCTAAAAGCGGCGTAAAACTAAATTCACTCACTCTAATATGATTTGCTTGAAGGTACGAGTACGTCAAGCTTTGAGAAAGGGTAAAAGTACGTCTCCTTTGACGCATCAGTTCCAAGTCTGATACAATTCCCGACATTGGCTCTATCTTCCCTTGGACTTTTCAGGCTTGCTTTTACATGCGTTTTTGACAGGTGCCACCGGTGAGACAGGATACGCTCACCTTTTCACGAGCACCTATTTTCAAGATAACTATTTGTAAGAGAACCATATGAAGTGTACTTCCTACAATGACTCTGCTTTTAAGAGAAATATCTGATTGAAGTGGAAGGGTTTGGTTGCTTCATTATTCCGTTAATAAATAACTGTTACTGTTTGTGGCACGTATGGCCCTGTGGTGTATAGTGGCGCGTTTCGCTATGCAGAGTTGCGCCCCTTAGGCATGTCAGGAAACTATGACTGTAGGGCCCAACCATTATTGGCATGAGTATATGTTCTGTTGACATGTCTGAAATAGCTTGTAATAATGTTCAAAGCTGAACGGAACTCGCTCATCCACTAAATCTTCAGGCTGATTGTGCTACACATTGTTGTAATACGTACATCTTGACAATGGAATTTTACATCTGCACATACATCGGGACCCTGGTGTAGCCTAGTGGTTAAAGCGTTCGCTCGTCACGCCGAAGACCAGGGTTCGATTCCTCACATGGGTACAATGTTTGAAGCCAATTTCCAGTGTCCTCCGCCGCGATATTGCTGGAATGTATTGCTAATAGCGGCGTAAAACCATATTCACTCACTCACTCTACACAACCATAATATTCTCTGATTCTATCTCAAAATAATGTGAATATAATTAGTCATTTAATGAATACTGAAGGTTCATTTAACGTATGAAAGCAATAACATCAATACTTGAAAGGCTTCCAATGTAAGCAATGCCAATTGATATCGTTGCCCCGGACTGTCCGCCCTTTACACCGGTAGTATTGACGTTCGACCCTGAAACATGAACGTTTTTTATCAGGAGTGTAACGTAATGACAAACAATGTTTATGGCATTATGGGGACAATTACACACTGGTGTGTGTGTGTGGTATGGTGTGTGTTTGCTGTTTTGTCTGGTGCGGTCAGTGGCCTTATTTGCGGTGTGTGACGTGTGTTTGCTGTTTTATGTGTCGCGGCGTGTCGTGGCTGGTGTGCGTTTGATGTTTTATGCGGTTTGGTGTGGCGTGGTGTGAACCCGTGTCCTGTCGTCGGCAGTGAGGTGTGGAGTGGTTATTGTGATGTGCTGTGGTGGGCAGTGTGGTATCGGCAGTGAGGTGTGGAGTGGTTATTTTGGTGTGGCGTTGTCGGCAGTGTGGTGTCAGATGGTGAGGTGTGGAGTGGTTATTGTAATGTGGTGTGGTCGGCAGTGTAGTGTCGGATCGTGAGGTGTGGAGTGGTTATTGTGAAGTGGTGTGGTCGGCAGTGTGGTGACGGATGGTGAGGTGTGGAGTGGTTATTGTGGTGTGGTGTGGTGTGGTCGGTAGGGAGGTGTCGCGTGGTTAGGCAATGTGTGTGTTTTAGTGTCCACAAGTGGCGTTCTGTTCTCTATGTCACCTGTGGTGTCCAATGTTGAGTATGTCATGTGTGGTGTCTGATTTTGTGTATGTCACCTGTGGTGTCTCATGTTGTGTATTTCATATGTGGTGTCTCATGTTGTGTATGTCATGTGTGTTGTCTCATGTTGTGTATTTCATGTGTGGTGTCTCATGTTGTATGTGTCATGTGTGGTGTCTCATGTTATGTATCTCATGTGTGGTGTCTCATGTTGTGTATATCACGTGTGGTGTCTCATGTTGAGTATGTCATCTGGGGTGTCTCATGTTGTGTATGTCACGTGTGGTGTCCAATGTTGTGTATGTCACGTGTGGTGTCTCATATTGTGTATGTCATGTTTGGTGTCTCATGTTGTGTATGTCATCTGTGGTGTCTCATGTTCTGTATGTCACGTTTCGTGTCCCATGTTGAGTATGTCATCTGTGGTGTTTCATGTTGAGTATGTCATCTGTGGTGTCTCATGTTGTATATGTCATGTGTTCTGTCTCATGTTGTGTATGTCATGTGTGGTGTCTCATGCTGTGTATGTCACCTGTGGTGTCTAATGTTGAATATGTCATGTGTGGTTTCTGATTTTGAGTTTGTCATGTGTGGTGTCTCATGTTGTATATGTCATGTGTGGTGTCTCATCCTCTGTATGTCATGTGTGCATTCTAATGTTGTGCATTTCATGTGTGTTGTCTCTTGTTCTGTATGTCACGTATGGTGTCTTATGTTGTATATGTTATGTGTGGTGTCTTATGTTGTGTATGTCATGTGTGGTGTCTCATCTTGAGTATGTCATCTGTGGTGTCTCATGCTGTGCATGTCATGTGTGATGTCTGATTTTGTGTATGTCATGTGTGGTGTCTCATGTTGTGTATCTCATGTCATGTTTCCCATGTTTGGTATGTCATGTGTGGTGTCTAATGTTGTGTATGCCACGTTTTCTGTCTCATGTTGTGTATGTCATGCGTGGTGTCTCATGTTGTGTTTGTCATCGGTGGTGTCTCATGTTTTGTATGTCATGTGTGGTGTCTCATGTTTAGTAAGTTATGTATGGTGTCTCGTGTGTCTCATGTTGAGTATGTTATGTGTGGTGTCTCATGTTGTGTTTCTCATGTGTGTTGTCTCATGTTGGGCATGCCATATGCAGTGTCTCATGTTGTGTATGCCATGTGTGGTGTCTCATGTTGTGTATGTCACGTGTGGTGTCTCATGTTGAGTATGTCATCTGTGGTGTGTTGTGTATGTCACGTGTGGTGTCTCATGTTGAGTATGTCATCTGTGGTGTGTTGTGTATGTCACGTGTGGTGTCTCATGCTGTGAATGTCATCTGTGGTGAGTAGTAGAGGGAATGATAGTCCGGGACCAGTTCCAACAAAAGCCTCTGCAAAGCTTTATTTCCCAAATAAGGCTTTGGTCGGACCCTTAGCTCTTGCTACCATTACCCCTACTACTTTCCCAACCTATAAAAATTTCAAGAGCCAGCGGGACTGCTTAACCTACATGGCTGAAGTTCATCTATGCCGTGTTGACTGGAGGTAACACTGTGCCGTACGGTACGATCTATAATTCCGCTCTTACAAACCCTCTGCCTGGCCAATCCCTCAAGTAGTACAAGTTAGGCTCGTCTGCTTTTATGTCCACTTTATCTATGTTGTAAGTTTTGACTGACCATATAGGATCGGTGGCTCGCTTACGGCTATCACCCTTGTGTTCCCCCGGCTGGTATAGATACCTCACTAGGGCCCTATCTGGTATCTGTTTCTCTTTCCCATGCAATGGAGCAGCCGGCTCTGCCACTATTGATTTTAGTTTGATAGCGTCTGCCGGTTTCTTGACGGTGAGACGGGTGGCTTCATGGTTGATTTCTGACACCACCTTGGGTAACCTCGCGACCCATTCCGTCGATCGTTTTCCCGGGTTGGCCATCTCCCTCGCATACTGATGGCCGAATAAGCGCTCAGCCAAAGTCCTATTAAATCTCTCAACTATGGCTTGGCTGCGATGAGCTCCTACCACACCTTGTCTCACTCGTACTTTGTGCTTAGCCAGCAACTGCGACACAACTCCCATAAACTCACGTCCGGGGTCAACTTGCAGCTCTGTTGGCCACGTCAGCCGACTGCGTTTGTATATGCGTTCGAATCCTCTGGCTACCTGGGTAGAATCTTTCGTTGTCAAGGGTTCGGGTTCCTTGTAACGACTAGCCACATCCACGACAGTTAAGGCATACTTGTACCTGTTGTCGTGGTGGGGTAGGAACAGTAGGTCTGCCTGGTGAACGCTATTAGGTATGTTAATACCGAACTTCCTTCTAGGCACGTAGCATGGTGGCGGCAAATAGATCTGCCACAGGGCTTGTTTTTTCAAGCCACGCTTTGGCCTCCTCCGGCGGTACTCGCGCCATTTTAGCCAGCTTATCTACAGCGCTAGCTCCTTTCCAGTACCCACGCGGGCTATAGTAAATAGCCTCAAACTTTCTCTGGTTCCGTTCTTGGTTCAATTTTCTCATGCCCGTACGCGTACGTGTTTATCCCATCAATAGCTATCCAACGTTTAGTGTCCATCGGCGACAGGGACGTCTTGTTTAAAGTCAGTCCGTATATCTTATGCCCATCACTTCTGGCGTGTTTAATGTGTTGTTTCACCACGTACTTCTTAACACCCTTAGCCTTCCGGATCTCACTATTGTCGGCTTTCAGTATGGAGAACATCTTAGGCCTCAACCTTATGTACTTGGCTATGGGCGTGCCGGCACACTCGTCCTTCATCTTACCTAGGACCTTTTTATTTACCGTGCTGTGTATGGCATGGGCCTTGGGGTAGTCGCTGGTGTCATACAAATCGAGGTGTTTTTCATGTCATCGTACACGTCCTCGGTTTGAATCTCCATCAGCAGGGAATCCGTATCAGTGTACAGCACTTCACACCTGTCGTCGTACTGTTTCTTGAGCTCGTTGTAGTAAAAGTCGTACATCAGGTGTTTGGATAAATCGAGGATGCTCATCCCCACGTAAACAGGCCGGTTGAATTTTATGTGACTTTTCTTCATGTGTAGGGCAACAAGGTCATCGGTGAATATCTTGCTACGGTTGAATGCCGGACTGGCTATCAGTCTCCTGAGCTTGTCTTCCTCATTCGACCGAACCAGCTTCACAGTCACGCGTTTCCTCAGGTTCTCCATA